TTACAACGAATTAGAAACAAAGAGACAACAGGAGTATGAAGTACTCGAAAAGTTGCAAAAGGATTACAGTGAGTTGGAAAAGAAAGGGAAAGAACAAATAGACAAGATTATCGAAGAGGAAAAAGAGACAAGAGATGGCTTGATAGTGCGCATAGCTGAGTTGGAAGCTAAATTTGGCGAAAAGGATAAACAAGTTGAAGAACTTGACTTGTTGTTGAAGGAAACGCTGGCGTCGAAAGAGGACGCAGTTAACGCGGTGAAAAATTCTGAAGCTAAGTGGGAAGGCAAAGAGAAGATACTACTGGCGAAGATAGAGGAGCTTAGGCGTACTTCTAAAGGAATGAAGGAGACAGAGAAGGCGTTTGCAGAGCTGAAAGATCACATGCTGGAATTACAAGCTGAGAAAAATCAACTGGAGCAGAAAGTCGAGGAGGAAACTCATATCAACAGACGGCTTGGCACAGAGGTACACTCTATGGAGGCACAGTTGGCTCATGCCGACAAACAAATACGAGAACTTAGACAAACTTCGGCTGAGTCCGAAAGTATTATAGAGTTGCTCAGAAGGAAGGCCACTGACGGGGAGAGAGCGCAAATGTACGCTCGACAGCAGTTTTTTGAAGAGGATAGCTCCACTGATTCTGACGAAGGCCCACCATTGAAGCTAGCGGATTTTGCAAGCTCTGTTAAGGGAAGCATGAAAGCGCCTACACTCCCGAGCAATGCTTGTAACCAGTTAAACAAATCTCTCAACACTCTGCACTCGGCCTCAAGTTCAAGCTTGAGGGCTGGAGTTCAGACTCGCGCCAGCCGCCGGCAGAGTGCTATTTACATGCGAGGTAACACCCCGCCTGAAAAGCGTACAACAAACAGTGCTGCATACTTCATCCTGGGAGATGAGCTTGGACCAGAAATGGAAGATGCTGAAGTGGAATATGACTGGAACCGACTGGCCGAGCTGCAGCGTCGGAATGCGTCGTGCCTGCCGCATCTACAGACATCTTACCCGGTAGAAACTCAAATGAACCCTGACTTCTCTGTGCAAGAAGATGTGCTTAAAACAGGAAGAATGTCTTTGGACGCGTCACTTGCCAAATCATTCAACACACGCAAAAGAAAATCGGTGGAAGGTGCGTCTAGTCTGTTTAAACCAAAGAACAGCGAAAGACCGAGTATAGCAAAATCTAAGTCTGCCCCCAGCATTACTCCAGCTAAACAACCACGATCCCAGCGTATCGCCACGGCCATGCAGTCGGCACTTGGATCTCTTCGGTCCCGCTCAAACGAAAATCTTCCCAATGAAGCAGCTCCAGACGAAGGTTCCTCGCGAAGAGAAAGCCTCGCTTACAACATCGAAATAACGCCGCCAAAGAAAACGAAGACCTCGATTGCACGGCGTCGCACAATTGCGCGGTCGACGGCGTCAAGTTGCCTGTTAGATGACAACAGCAAACGCTTCTTAAAGAAGACAAAGTCCCAGAATCTGGTTGCAAGCACAGTTAAAGATAGAAAGCCGCTGAGACCGCGCGACTTGAAAAGAAATGCAAAATAACTCTGCAGAACTATTAAGGAGAGCAAAGATAATTGCACCGTTCGAAAGAGTTAAACCACACATCCAGTACGTGGTAAAAACAAATATGAAGGCTAATTGCATAATAATTTGGAGAGACGTTTGGGAGTTTTCTTAAATTGTTCAAAGAATTAATGAATTATGTTGAGCAATTGGAAAATTCATCACTTTCAATGAACATATGAAAACTGTTTAGGGTACCTTGCATAATCTTGACAAGCACATGTTGTAGCCAACATACGCACTATCTGATTTAAAAGTATTGTAGCTAGATAAAATAGCGAGGTCAGTTTTTCCTCAAGGAAATCAATCTGCATGTATTTAACTGTAGTCATTGTAGTTATAATTATTGTTTGGAAAATCACGTTTCATTAAGCAGGATAACGTTGACATTTAGCGACTGCAACACATCTTTGAATTTTGACGCATTTTGATTACTTTTAGGAAAACGAAATTGTTAAGACACGTCGAATCACTTGTCTTTCCGCAAGTTTTACGTAAATGTGAGTGCCATGTTTAGCTTTGCGTGTTCCAGATGAGACTTATAATTTTAATTTATCGTGCAGATATTGCATAAGAGGAAACTGGGTTAATGTTTCAAAATAATTTATACAGTTTTGTTTTGACGGTTTACAAACGAGTTTTAACAGGGATTTTTAATGTAGTAAGGGAAATTTTCATACGTTAGGGCAGGAAATCTGATTCGTTCACATAGTAATACAAATGTTTACACTTATCCTGTTTGTCTTTTTTAAATGGTTGAATTGAGCCCATAGGCACTTTGGAAGTTGGATACTTCTATGAGACATAAAGAAAAAACTCCACATCCATATATGAACAAAGTGGAAGCAGAAATAACAGAAAAGTGAACAAAGTTAGCAGCTCTAAGAGAAGTGGAGTTTTAGAGAGTAATTGGTCGAACACCTAGTCTCCTTCGCAGCCGTTCTCAGACTCTTCACGTAACGCTCCTTCTCAATGAACGTTCGTTGAGCAGGAGTGTTGATGAGTTTGAGAACGGCTCTGAAGGAGAATAGCGAACGCCGAGCGCATAGCCGATTTGAAAATCGGGTACGATTACCCTTGCATGGTGCAACATGTCCTTTTGCGTTTAATGGGGTCTAACAAAATGCGAGAAACGCAGACATGAAGTATTTCATTTCACGAAAAGTACCTTATTTCATACAAAAGACTATTACCCAACCCTCAGAGCCCTCCAAAAGTCTTAATGGAAAGGCTGAGAGGCGTCAACGGATAATGAGACGATGCCACCACTACATTGGGGACTGGTCATCTGATATTTATTTGTTCGCCCCGAGGCCCAGTAGTATTCTTAGGATTCCCCTCTATTGGCAGTCAATTTTATTTCCTTCCCTTTTATACTCTGTTAGAGACGACCGATTCATCCCGAAAACCACGTGATTCATCCCCAAATCCTCCGCGTCCCACTGATTCCCAAGCGACAGATAATGGTTGTTCACTCACCACTTTTGTCCCGTTGAGTTCGACATTTGCAATTTCTTGGCAAATTTTCGTTGTTCTTGTAAATTCTTTTGAGCTTTTCTTGCGTTTTGGTGCTTAACTTTTAGGGCTTTTTTCTTTCAAAACTGAATTGCGAGACCGGTCCACAATTCATTGCGGACCGCTTTACAAGCTCGTCTTCCAGTTCATGCGGAATGGAAAATATTTTTGAATTTAATTGGTGTGTACATAACTCAGGATTTTGCGAGCGTTACTTTAAACTATGCTTACGTTTCCAGTTATACCATTTTACATAGTTAAACTATTTGAACCACTTCAGCTGGTTAGACCATTTAGAGTAGCTGGATCATTTTATCATAGTTGGATCATATTTAACAGTTGGACTATTTTATCTAGCTGGACCATTTTAACATTTTCAGGCCTTATTGACCGGTTAGGCCATTTTATCTTCATGGACCATTTTATGCGGTTGCATCATTTTAGCAGGTTGGACCATTTTCAATCAGTTAAGCTAATTGGACCATTTTATCTATTAGACTATTTCAACCGGTTGGATCATTTTGTCGAGTTCGCCCATTTCAACGGATCCATAACATGACTATAAATTCTTATTATTTAGGCTATTTTAAAACAGGAAGGTCATTTTAACCCAATTCACCTTTTGGGCATTAGTTTTCACGTGTAGTGTCACGTGACTTTTGATGTAAACAAACCCCGAAAGTTCGGACATTGAGTCGAGCTCGCAGCACATGTGTCCAAATTTCGACTTTGGAAATTTTTCTTAAATAACTACCCACTTCCAATTAAGAAACATTTCTTCGCTCAAAATTGGCATCTTTTATCATTTATTTGATCGTGTGTCAAGCAAGTTGTCATTTCGCTGCCGTTGAAGCAGATGCGAAGAATGTTACAGGACGCGTTGTGGCATGGAATAATCGAACTACTGCGTACAGTGATGTATCTGATCAGGTATTTTTGGGCAAGCTCGACTCAATGTCCGAACTTTCGGGTTTGGTTACATCAAAAGTCACGTGACACTACACGAAATGAAAGTGAAATCTAAAGCCCAAAAGGTAAATACGCGAATTTGTTAATACTGAGGTCAGAATGGACGCTTGGATTGGCCAACCCAGTACCAGGTCCCTTAAGGGACATGTTGTTTCACGCAGCCTCGATCTTTGTTGTTGGTGTGTAAGATGCACAATAAAAAAAGCTTCGCAAATTCTTTTAAAGTTGTATGCTTCTAAACCTTCTTTGTATCCATCCATTGTATCTATCCATTGTATCCATGATCTGCCGAGGAGATCATTGATCTGTGTGGGCAGGTGAAAATGACCGTAGATATCGGTGCAAGGCACAAATTTTAAGGAAAACCTTTCATTTCTATCCCGATTAAGATAGACCTTTAGGAGCTCAAATGAAAACTGTTTATTCCGAAGATTAATTATATAGGTATAATGTAGACTAGTTGAATAGGTTTAACTTTTTATCTGGTTAGACCATTTCAAAAACCGAGTGAACAATTTTGATTGGTTAGATCGTTTCTAAAGGTTGGACAAATTTAGCTAGTGAAACCATTTTTACAGGTTAGAACACACATGCTAGTTAGACCATTTGGATTATATCGGTCCGTTTTAAGTGGTTGGACCTCAAGTCTAATAAGACCGTTTTGAGCGGTTGAAATATCTCATCTAGTTAGAACCTGGTATCAGGGTGTATTTATAAGACCATTTGAAATGGTCAATCTGTTTTAATCAGTTTAAATCCTTCATCTATAGTAATTAGACCATTCAAATGTTTGCAGCTTCTAAACTTTTCTCTTAAGAACATTCACAAAATTTAAACAATTCGGGAATTTAGTTGGTGTCCGCTGAGGTCTTCCTTTCTGGTCACAAATGCTACTCACTACGTTGTCATGTTCAGCGCTCATGCCCATCGATCGACAACTTTTTCAATGTTGCAATTCTTCTTTTCTCAAAATATTGCTTTCAGTTCTTAAAACCAATGGCGCTGATTTGCGTCTATGATTCTTAACTTCGGCTGGTTTTGGACGGCCACTTTTCAAAACGATTAGTGCATTTTCATTCAAAGACACTGATCTCGGCATCCCGCGGTGATTGCACGTTTTAGCATTGTATCTATCATTCGATAAATTCGTCCTCCTCTTTGATGGTTTCTTTTCGCGTGCACATTCAATCTGAACAATGATAGTTCTGGTAACAAGTCGAGTCACTTCAAACAAGTTTCCATGGTTTATTAAAGTCGGACATGATATGCTTCTATCCTCGACTGCCTTATCTTGTTCTCCACGCACGGAGATCCAGCGTTCAAATGCTTCTGCCGCCCAAGACTGTGAGCGCGCAGGGGACCGTTTAGCTATTTCGGTGTTGACAAAATCTTTGATATCCAGAGACACGATGGAGTACCGGTGCCTTTTCGCAAGAGGCTTAGTCTGGTGTACTGGCTGAGTTTTCTGAGGTTTTTTAAATTTCAGCAATTTAACTGCAGCCTTCCTGCATCGTCTGTTCCTATAAAAATAGAGGGCAGGATTCACTAGAGAGTTCACCTGAACGAAAATTTGTGTCCATCGCCAAGTTTGCTTCACTATGAGTGACAAGTTTGCAAAGAGAGAAACGATTAAAGGAACAAACGAGGCAAACACGACAAATGTTAAGAGAAAAGCCGTAAAGGCGAGTCTACTTTCGATCCTTGCTTTGATAAGAGCGTCTACTCGGCGGAATTGACTTCGGTGCTGTTTTCTTATTTGTTTATAAACCATGAAATAAAAATACACCACCAATAAAAAACCAATTAACCAAAGAACGCATATGATGATGTCCGTTACCAAAATGACCTCCAACTGAACACCAGCGGCGTCGAATACGATGTAGAAGGCTGTTGCTGTGATGGCTGTAATCCAAGCAATTACCACATCTCTCTTAATGCGTCCTTTTGTAACTATAAACTTGTACTCCAAACATCTAACTACCGCAACATACCTCTCCCAGGCCATTACAATCAAGTGATTATATGAAGCGATGAACGTAGCGAGCATTGCAAAGAGGTAAATCTTGCGCATCGTACAAATCACTTGAAACGATACAGTTCTTCGATGATGCAAAGCGTCTGTAACGATGGCTAGCGGTGCAGGACCTAAGCCTACTAGTAAATCAGTGGCGGCCAAACTAGTTAGCAGAATGTTTGAGTTTGTCCATAACTCTCTCGTCTTCAATACTGTTACGATCACTAAAATGTTCAAAAGAATTGTACCTGGACACGAAATGGCTCCGACAATGAACGCAAGGTAAAGGGAAATTGATACCTCTCCTTTTGATACATGAATCTGTGCAGCACCTGGACATGGGAACACGGGTCGGGAGGAATTAAGGAGCGAATCTTCAGAGAAACTTCCATTCATGTTGATGAACCTTATTAAACGGCTGTGGACGTGTACATTGTAACGTACGGCTCAAGAACTCGTCGCTCTTCAAGTCATGCGAAATTGATTTTTCCTTTGATGAAAACTTGAACTCTTTTGCAGAGAATTGTTTCCGTTGACGTAGATCGCAGATGTGGGGGAGAATTTATTCACACGAAAATCTCTGTTTATGACGATTATGATGAGATGTTATTTCTTTCAGCTATTCATTGAGAGATCTTTTCTTTTGTTCTTGCTCAAAAATGGGTTCATTATGATGAGGAAGTTAGCGAAATCGAAAGAGCACGGATCTGGGAAGAATATCAAAGTATCATCAAATCAATAAATCTGAACCAAATTAATACGATCGATATCCTCATACGAAAATTCAATTCACTTAAATCAGAATACATTCTTTGAATACGAGAAGCTCTTAATCTGACTCATTAAGTTTAATCAATACTGAGACACGAATCTTGTTTTGAAACTTTTTTTTCTCTCTCTCTGTCTCCTCCTCTGTCTCTCCCTCTTTCTAAATGAGCCTTTTTGTGGATGCGATTTCCGTTCCGGTCTTTTAAGAAAGTTTTCAAACAAAAAGCCTTCCGTGAGATTAACTTTTTCTGAATGTTTCCATGGGGTTAGACAGAAAACGTCCACACGAGATTTATTTATAGGTTTAAAAGTATGGGAGAAACGATTGCTGTAGACAACAACATTTTAGCTAATGTACAAAATATACTAATGAATCTCGTCACATCTCATCAATATCCAGGTCTCCTATGGTTTTACGGTATTGATTATACGTTTTCAATGGATTTACACGACAAAGCGACCTCAGCCCTCAGTTTGCGGTCAAAATTATTTTTCTTCTTTTTTGTCGAAGACGACCATGACAGAAAAATTAAATTTTGATTAAATTTCTCAGGAGTTTACCTTGGTTTTGACACCAATTGCAAATGATACTAGAGCTCGTAAATATATTATTGGCACGGAAACTTAGTGGCAACTACACTTGTCCTTATCAAATATTCGAAATAAAAAATCGTAGCTTAATTAGGCAAATGCTTAGTGCAAGTTTCGTTGCATTTAATAATGACAAGCGCAGATGATTTGGATGTTATTAGGAGGGTCTCAATGGGGTTAACCGTTTGGCGTAAAACGGCCAAAAAATTTAGCTGTTAGACGTAAAAATTGACAAATTTTAGCCGTTAGCCGTAAAAAGAGTTAACCGTAAAAATATTTCTGGCAAAAATTTTAATCGTTATCCGTAAAAGCCATCACCCCATTGAGACCCTCTATTTAGACACATCAAAGATTCCCATCTGAAGGATCTGAAGCTTGCTGTCCCAGAACATTAAAGTCAGTTTTTCAGCCTACATAGAATAGAGAATTCGCTATAACGAAGAGCCAATGCTCCAACTGTCAGCTTTAAAATCTCTCTCCGGTGGCTAATTTACCAAATTCTCTTTCAACCACGAGAAGGTCTCAACTGGGTGCTGGCTCTGGCGGCTAACGTTTAAAATTTTGGCCATTTTACGGCTACATATATAACAATTAATTTCTTTCCGTTACAATAAAAAGAGAATTCTTTTACGCTTCACAGTTTTTACGACTCACGGTTAAATTTATCAATTTTTATGTCTTACGGCTGAATTTTTTTTTTGACGTTTTATGGCTAACGGTTAACCCTATTAACCCTTTAACTCCCAAGATCTGATCATTAATTCTTCCCTCCACCTGCTACACATTTCCTTATAAATTGATAACGAGAATTTGATGTTCAATCAAGGTGATATCTTATACCTGATGAGTTTGAGTATTCTCACTACCTGTTTGCTGGATAATGTGTGGATATTATAAGGAGAAGTAATATGTCAATCACTTCTGGGAGTTAAAGGGTTAAGACTCTAAGACTCTGACATGCTCTAAGGAAGGGACAACGCTCCTAAGGTTAGCTGTAGAACAATTTACTTTGGCCAATTCGCATCATCAAACCATTATTTTTTGATAAAAACAAATTATCTTTCAACTGACAAGTTTGTTTGGGACGGAAACGTGACTTAGCACCAATGTCCAACTATAGTAAAGCAAATTTGCATAGCTTTATCATGGCGTTACAATTTCACCCGTGTTTTTACAACTAACAACCATAAATATCAAATTGAGCCGACGGCTATGCTTGCAGGATCCCTTGCTGTTCAAAGAGACGGCCCCAAAATTAAGAAAACAGTCCACTAGCTTCATAATCCTGGCTTCTGGAACAGACAATTGGTTATTTGCAAAGTCTAACTGATAACCAAGCCAAACTCCGGATTAAAAAAACTGCCAGCCAGACTTTTGTCGGTTAATGCAAAACCCCACTAAAGCCAAGTCCGATTGATACTGCTAAATTCTGAACAGGATTTTGAAACCGCGGGACCTCCAATTTCGTCGTCTGAGAATAAGATATTTAGGCGACCGCAACTCCTCTAAAATTTCACAAGAAACCCCACAACTTGGTAAATACGTACGGGTCCCCCCCCCTCCCGCTCCAAACACGGTTTTTATTCACATTTTACAAGGCCACAAACTGGTGTTGGTGAGGGGGGGAGGATTTGTCATTATTTTGATACCGAACTCCCTCCAGCTTCAATGAACACTCTATTGTGTACAGTCAGCCGTTCTTTTGGTCCAAACGTCCAATATCTTACAGGGAAAGCGATATAGGCTCTCAAATACCATTTTGCAGTTTGGAACGGAAACGATACTAAGCGCTAATGTTCCACAATACTTAAGTATAAAGGGTGTTTTTACATGGCATTATTATTTTTCCCGTTTTTTTTTGGGGGGGGGGGGTAGAAAAATGTATTGAAAGAGGAGAAACGGCAACGGGGTTTAATTTTTTCACCCGCTGCAATGGCAACGATCCAATGAATTTACATGGCGGCAATTTTTGATGTGCCTTATTGAAATTAGCAGGTAATTTTCAGTCTCTCGTACTTGTAACTGGTTTTCACTTAACTAAAAAAAGTAAGTTTCCTATATATGTTTCACTTAATATAATGTTTCCGGAAAACCAGCTGAGGTTAAATATGTTTACGCTTTGTAATGTTTCTTGCACTGTTGAAAAAACACATCTTTATTTTTCTGCGCATATTACGATGTACGGATTTTTAAATGCCATCTTTGATTTCCTCAGAATCATATTTACAGAAGCCTGCTAATAAATAAAAGAAGGACAGAAAATGACTGAAAATGATAGGCATAGTAAGTTTTCGCCTTTTTTTTGAGTTGAATGTGTAATTTTCTGGTAATTTGAGCCCACACATGCAGATGTTACAATATTTCGCCGGACCAATGCGAAGTAAGTTCTTTAGAATGAGAAAATTAGCTTGGAACTTGAATAACACATAATTGCTTTTTCTTAACATTTCTCGCTGAATACCGTCAAAAAGTTTGATTCGGTTTTCCTTGTGTGGGTAATGAATGATATCCCAAACAATTGTGATGGTAATTCGATGCGCTGGAGAAATCTGCTTTTACGAATTCTCACCCAAAAAATTTATTTCAGCGAAATGCGATTAATAGTATTTTCATTAACATACAGTTTTTAAGAGTTGTCTTAAAAGTCAAACATAAATGTCTTTTCATTTTCTAAATATCAAATATCTGTTCAATTAATTCAATCGAGATGTCTTTTTTCATCAGTGGAATTTTCATCAGACATAGACATCGTTGGTCAAAGTCTTAAATCGTTTTCTACGTTTTCATCAAGAAGTCGTTTTACCAATCTCGGCGAATTTTTAAGCGCGAGAAGAATATCAAAAAAAGATTTAGGAATTAGGTAAGCACGCATAGTGTTTCAATGAAATGTATTCGAAACCAGCTTTCAAAGGTGTTAAAGATCCCAAAACTTGCAAATTATTATGAGTTATATTAAAAACAAAATGGATGTCATGATAAACTGTGAGGAAAAAATTATGATAAAAGAATTGCAAAGGTGTCTGGAATGAAAATTAATGACAATTTTTTTCATGTTCATTGCCAAGACGGTGGTGTTGACAGAGGGTTTCAGTTGTCTGGTAACTAATTTAACCAAAATTCATACGATCGTGAAGCAGTGTTAATTAAAAGACTTTGTGGATCAGGTGAGTTTGATTTTGATTCTGGTATTGTTTAGTTTAATACAAGCATCAAATTCAAAGAGCACGAGGTGATAACGGGGAAACTGATTGTCTGATTGATTGTCTTTTGCCGCTTTATCATCGTTTTGGTAACTTGTGACACCCTTTAGCGAACTGAGATTATTGATACCATTTGCTTCTAGTTATCTGACAAATTGGTGTCCCTCTCGAGTAAACGATCCGTAAGTGGCTGAGAGCAAATATGACAGTTCCCACGATTTTGCATAAATAAACTGACTCGAAAACATCACGTTCACGCAGTTCGTTTTTGTGGAGTTATAAACTTTTGTTTTAACTTATTGAAATTTTGTTTCAACTTTTTCCGCAATTAATACCTTGGTGTTTCTTTTAAATTTTTAATAACCAGCTATTCGTGGTTTACGAATATGGCTTCAAATTAAGTACACGAGGCGAGACTTCACTGATTATTTTTTAACATATTCTACAGTCTACAGCGGCATCGTCGACCGAACACCATGAAGGTAGTAAAAGAGTTTTGTAACGATATTTCCAAGTACTATCCCGACACGAACGACTTTTATAGCTGGTACATCGTGCTTTGTATAATCAACGGAATTTTGGCTCTCTCTGCAATATTTGGCAATACAATTATCATCTGTGCCCTAACAAAGACAACTTGTGCCTTATCTCCTTCGCAAATACTGCTGCTTGGTTTGGCTTTCTCTGATCTAGGTGTTGGCTTAGTCGTACAGCCCTTGTACATCTCCGTGATATTTGAGATGCTCCGAAGTGATTCTGCTTCTCCGGATGACTCTGAGTGCAAAACCAAGATTGCTTTTCTGGTTGTAGGAACTTTTCTTGCCGGCGTTTCATTCT